CATAAACTCTAAACCCTAAACCCCTAAACCCCAAACAACGAGGCGTCCCAGGAGCCGACGCCGAGGCCAGCCGCTGAAGCAATGCCTGCCACGGGGAGCCAAACTTTGAAGCTACAGGGTCTATAGCTAAGGTAGGGTTTAGGGTTTAGGGTTTAGGGGTTTAGGGGTTTAGGGTTTAGGTTTTAGGGTTTAGGGGTTTAGGGGTTTAGGGGTTTTGGGGTTTAGGGGTAGATACTGCATGTGAGGACTATGCCCCAGCCTCTCGGGCGGGAAAGAAATTGTCTTTCAACCTGTTCTGTTAAGTAAGAAACTTCGTACATCCTAGTACCCACACGGGTTTTCATGTACACCAAGAAGCCCGACGAAGATCCGAAACATTGCAGTCCATAAACTCAAGCCTTCCAACTCCAGGGAAATCCCCGGGATGTTGCTTTCGGGAGTTGTCGCACATTCTGCAAGCATTTTGCAGCCAAGCCCCCTCTTTGCTCTAGACTCTTGACCGTGAATCCTGAACACGAATCGGATCCGCTTGCTCACCTTTAAACCCTAAACCCTGAAGCTTGAACCTCTAGACCCTAAACGCAGTCTAAACCCTCAAGCTTGAACCTTAAACCCTAAACCCAGCCTAAACCCTGAAGCTTGAACCTTAAACCCTCAGCCCTAAAGGCAGAGGGGCTGAAGACAAGGACCAGCACCACATCCGGAGCCACAGCTACGATGTCGTCCAGCACACCTCAAGATGTCCAAAGTCGATACATGTACGGTTCATGATTTCTCGAAGATGGGTTCCCAAAAGTGTCCTGAGTACCTATGTTATATGGGGCGAAATTGTTTAATAGTGATTCCCAAGATAGAAAGCCTATACATGGCCTACATTCAACTGTAAAGGTAACATAGGGGCCTTCACAATTAGAAAAGGGTTTTGGGGTCTAGCATACTTTAATTATAACAAAGAGCCCCCAAAACCCTATTCTGATTATGGTTTCCCGAACCCAACCCTAAACTCTAAGAGGGTTGAAGGTTTCAGGGTTAAGGGCGGCGGAGGGGGGAGTTCTGGAACAGCGTTGGACAAGACGGCAGCAAGTATGTTTAGGTTTTATTGTTTAGGGGTGGCATGTACCTGCACCGTACCAGCGTAGGAACACGTAAGCCTCATTTACACTGAGACATGGATCAAGAACTCAGTACCTAGTCCTGAGGGTCTCTTTTTTGGGAACTCCTGCACAAGGTGCTACACTGGGTGGACCCTACCAGAATCGTGGCAGCAGAGCTGCGGAGAGGTGATGACAAGCAGGGCTAGGTGGCCTTCCAAGGCCTAGGGTTCGGGTAGATGTTTCAACATGTCGCAGAAGCCCTAAACCCTATAATGTAGGGGCCTAAATAATTGCCAACACTATTTTGGGGGTTCCCTATAACTTATTAGATGATTATAGCATAATGGGCCCCCCCCCAACCCAATTCTGATTCTTAAGGCCCTTATGTTACCTGCCCCTAAAAAACCCTCAATCTGGCCATATAAACCCTACTCGCGCCTTCTTTCAGTGTTGACCTTAGCCTTCAGTCCAAACTCAAAACCCTAGCAGGACGCAAGACATTTCTGGGGTTCGTTATTCTAAACCCTATATATACTCTAAACCCTAAACCCTATTCATGATGTCCTTATCGCAGAGGGCCCTAACTAACTATATGGCAGAATGTTTTCGCAGAGCTGGCAGGTTGTGGCCTCCATAGGGTAGAAGGTAGGGTTTCTAAATCACCGGAATCACTATAATGATTTGGGTAAGTCTCCCCCATAAAAGTACCTAAGACCCTTCTTGGGTAATATAAGTCCTTACAAAAGCAGGTTATCTTGGGTTTAAGGTGAGCCGGGAACTCTAAACCCCAAAGACATGTGGGTAGTTCCCTAAATCAGCCCACACAATAGTACGAAAGTCTTTTAAAACGGGCCCTTAAAGGGACCCTAATTTAGACAACGACCCATGTAGCAGAACTTGCCCCCAGGGGTCGCAGGGTTCATATCCAGTTTAGAGTCTAGGACCCCGGCTCTATTTCTCGGGGTCCCTTGTTATTCCATTTATTTAATACACCCTAAAACGCTCTCCTATTCATTATTAAGCCCTGAACGCCGCACTTCGAAGTTCGACAGGAAAGCATCGAGGGCTCCGTTTAGGATTTACTGATTTATAGCATTTGGCTCGTAGGATTCATGTAGGGGCCTAAATAATGACCAATACTATTTTGTTGGGGGTTCCTGAGTTCCTTATTCTAACTATGGTAAACCCCAAAAAGTTGGAAACCGGATTAAGGACAACTAGTGCTGGGATTGCTTGTACATTGCTCTTAGGGATTGAGGCTGTTGGGTTTCCAACTTTGGGGCTTCTACTGTATAGTAGCATGGGCCACAAAACCCTATTCTAAGTATTAAGGCCCCTATATCAAGAGCTTGCAGCCCAGCACCCGAAGAGCTGTGGAGATTCGCAGGTCTCACGAAATATACTTGGGGCAAACGCGTTCACCCAAGCCCGAAACCCGTACTATAGAGACCTGAATAATTTTAGTAGGGTTTGGGGCCCCTTATTTATAGTATCCTTATAATACGGAAGCCTCCGGAATGATGTTGGTAATTATTTGGGCTTCTATGTTAAGCCTCAAGAATCTTAAACCCTCTTAAAGCTACCAGCTGGGGGACCTTCATAAAGCGAATAGCATGTTCTCGAAAAGCCCTGCAAAAAGCCCCTAACAAAAAGGGCTTAATAATTAGAATACGGTTTTGGGCTCCTTTATAGTATAAGCATAATGAGGAACCTCCAAAATTGTATAGGCAACTACTAAGGCGAATATTTTACACACACCCCACCTTCCAGGACGAACGGGTCCAGGTCCGCAGGCCTGCAACGGACAAAACCCGAAAGATTGGGTTTTGGCTTCGGAGTTTTGGGTCTGGGGCCTAGGGTGCTTGGCCCAAGGGGCTTAGAGTTCGTGCTTCTGGTGGTGTTATTGTACCTGGGGCTGAGGGGACTCTTGTGATTCTCGCTTTTTGCAAAGGGGCTCCTGTTTTTGGTTCAACACGAGACCACAAGCCTAAACCCCAAACCTCACCCAGGCTCTGATTTCTCGATTCTTGTTTCAGACTCCTCTTCGGTCGAATACTTCCTGAAGCGTCTGTGAGAGGGTGCGGTCCTGTTGACTCAGAAGATTTTGGGGTCTAGGATTCCAGGGCATGGGGTCATGGGGTTGAGGGCATTCAGTGTTTAGGGCTGAGCACCGGGGTTTTACGAACAAAAATGGCATTCCGGCTATGCTTCATCAGTCCGGAAAAATCAGGAGCACGCCCTTACCGATGTGTTTACAGGCCTTGATGAACTTATTAGGCCTTCGTCGATCTATCATTATAGGGGTATCTTATAGCAGAAGGGCTCCGAGAGCACCATGTAAGGCTACTCTGAGGCTTCGTATTCCTATGGTACTTTAATGCGTAGCGATAAATGCGGGTTATAAGGGCTACTAGGCTATTACCAGCCAGCAAAGGTTTAGGGTTTAGGGTTTAGGGTACGATTAATGTACCATAGAGTGAACCTCTAAACGTTGAAAGCCGGACTAAGGACGATGAGCGCCGGGTTTCCCAATACAGTACTCTTAATTCTTGGGTTTCCAACTTTTGGGCTTCTAATACGAGACTCATATACTCTCCCAAGTAGTCACCTACATAACTACTCTATAAAACCTAAGGTAATTACCTGATTACTGGGTCCTTTGGACCCTTAAAGCCAACAGGGGCCCCCTAGGCTGCTATGGCAGCGACGAAGCCCTTGTCTGGGCCTGAGACTGCAGATGTGTGGTTTCGCTGTCGGGCTGAAAACTGCGCAATTGTGTTTTAGAGTTAATTGGGGTTCGGGGTTAGGGTGTAGGGTTTAGAGTTATAGGGTTTAGAGTTTAAGGCTTAGGGTTTAGAGTCTAGGGTTCAGGGGAACGAGGCGGGATCACAATGTGTTGCAGCCCTGAAGCTTGGTCAACCATGAATGCACGCGCATGTCTAAAAAATACAGGCAGCTAGTGCCTATGTTGCCTATGTTTGATATGTTTGATGAAACCTCGACGCCGACTTCCCATCCGTCGATTGCACGCCACCAGTCTCGAGTTGCTTTAAAAGTCTTACAAATCAACGAACCACAAAACTCAAAAATCCGCTCGGCAGATGATGACACACCTTCGCCTTCGCTACACTAAGATTCTGTGGCTGGGACACCCATGCCAAAACCCGAGGTAACAGGCACTCTCAGGTTCAGCGGACTTAGATACTTGAATCAAGCTACCGTGCTACCCGAAGACTGACCTTCTGACTAAGTCCGTTGATCCTTGAAGTGTTCCTCTCCCTAAGCCTCCATGTACCCCCTTAAAGTACCTATATAGGGAACCCTTTAAGGCCTTAGTATCTGCTATAAAGGTACATGGAGATTTTGGGTCTAGAAATATCACACCCTCAATGCGCTTGCCCAAGCAAGCTTCCGGAAGCTGCTGCTTTCAAGACAACGCAGCTGGTCTGCTGACTGTCACGGCACTGGTAGTCTCAGACCCGTACGAGATGACACACGTACATACAAGAAACGAGTACATAAACTGAAAGAAGTAGATAAACAACGGCAACACACACACACACACATGTAGTAACACACAATAACACACAGAAACAAAGGAACCACATAAACCCTTAGACGAACAAATACGTACGTGAACAAATAAGTAGTTACACGAAAACACATCCGTTATCATCATGATGTGCGTCTATATATACCGCGCTTACAGAACTCATACATACCATCAGGAATATACAAACGACACGATACGGTCTTGATTGAATAGTCCAATCACCACAGGCCTTTACTCTTGAGAAGATGATCGTGAGTGCAACCTTCGCTTCAAGACAAGTCTGTCTAAACCCTAAACCCTAAACCCTAAACCCTAAACCGTTGTTTCACTATCCGGACAGTTCGTACGAGGAGCTACGCAGTGCAGCATGCAGCCCCACGAAACACATCCATCAAGCATGTGTAAAGCACTCCTAACATCGTCACTTGCTTGGCTTCACTCCTGAACTGCACATCGCCCTTTGGTGTTGAAATTGTGAGCGACAGGTAAGACTTACCATCCTCACTCTGCTTGAGGATAGAAGTGTCTATGCCTGTGGTGTTGAAGAATGTACCGACGACGTCTTGGGCACTGGCTGTGACGTGAAATTCTTTCAGAGGACACATCTGCATCCCTGTGTCCAGTTCAGTCCTCGGCGGAGTCTTCCACTGGATGGCATTCGGGAAGACCGGGTCAAAGCCGGGACCAATCTGCCCACGCACGTAGGTGGAGTGCTCGTCGTTCGTGCCGGGCTCATCCTGGATGACCTTATTTTCGATGCATCGCCCCCCAGCAACGACTTTCGACTCGAACTTCTCGAAGTCGTCTGTACCAACATACCAGAACCAAAGAGTCAGCTCATCTGGAGGCATGCTTCGCAGGAGGGACTTTAATGGATGGATGCCGCCATGCGCCGGGTTCGGACCCAGGATTTCCAAGAATGACTTCCTATGTTCTCTGGCTTAGGGCTTATAGAGTTTAGGGTTTAAGTTTAGGGTTTAGGGCTTACGCTCAAGAACAGACAAGTATAGAATATCCCAGGTTGCCACCTAGATTCTCTCCGATCTTCAAGCTGGCGCTCTGGTAAGGCGCGTTCGGCTCCGGTGGGTGCACGATGGGCTGCACACCGGTGAGTTCAGCTACTCGCGCTACACCTTTATCCTGGGCTGTTCTTGCAGGCAAGACTATAAACCATGGTTCTTGTTTCGCCTTACGCACATAACTGCTTTACTGCACCTCATAGCTAAACCCCAAACCCTAAACCCTAAGACCCCTCACACCCTAAACCCTAAACCGTAAGTAGACATCGGAAACATGCTCAAAAACCACCTAGGCGCCAGGTCGTTCACCGCGAGACCAATGTGATCCAGCTGGTGGCCGCCAGGCTTTGAGAGAACTTTGCCTTCACCACTCATGGCCGATCCTGTCCCTTATAGGCTCCAAATAGGAACAACCATATGTATATATATATATATATATGTATGTGGTGTGTCTATATTATGCATTATGATGGAGTGGAGAACGTCAGAACTATGGTTGTGCAAGGCAGATTAAGGCAGTATCTAGACTCTAAACTGAACCCTAAACCGGATAACAGGTAGCACTTCTAGGCCTAGGCCCCTTTGTCTGCTCATCATAGGGCAAGGAGAAGACAATACCATGCTGCACTCGAGCCCTCAGCTTGCAGCAAGAGCATGTAACGCCATGGGAATCTTGAGCTAGGATTTGGCGTTAGGGCCTATGCGCTGAACATGTATCTGATATTGTAGCCGTCTGCACATCTCCTAATTGGGCTACCTTCTCAGTGCCGTTGGTGACGACACCGAATGCGTTATTTGCTCTCATCCCCGATCGAACCATGGGGGTTTACTGCTGCGGGGTTACTCTAAGGGTTCAAAGGACACAATAATTGGGTACTTGGGTTTCGGATAGTTTCGTAATATTTGGGTTTAGGGTATATGATTATTACTTGGACCCATATATAGGGCTACCTGCAGCCACCATGGACAATCGAAGCCCTAGAATTGCAAATTCGGCCTGCCCCGAGCACCGCCAACCGCGAAGTAGCGCGCCACGTTCGGGGCGTCCACAACGACCCGAGGGCCAAGCGAATCGGCTGCCTGTGTTGTGCTTGTGGTGCTAAGGGGGACTTCTTGGGTACATAGCTGGCAAGCCTTTAAGGTTTAGGGCTTTAGGGCTTTAGGGTTTTAGGGCTTTAGGGCTTTAGGGCTTTCCGGCAGGAATTCTCGGGCCTTGGAACAGGGATTCGGAGCAACAGCGCCATACAAATTACAGGATGAAGCAGTAGCAACATGGACGTTCTCAGTCCCCAGCCTACCTCCATAGACTAAACCCTGAACCCTGAACCCTAAACCCCTAACCCAAAACCCTAAACCCTAAACCCAAAACCCAAAACCCTAAACCCAAAACCCAAAACCCTAAACCCTAAAGAACCCCGTGAGCCTTCAGGGTCCGTGTCTCGAAGGAATTAGATTGCAAGCTGACACTTGCGCACGCATGTCATATTTTAGAAGAATGATATCAGGCTTAAGGGTACATGATGCTGTCATTAGAACGTGGCTGTAAAGAAATACTACTAACAGGATCCAACAGGTGTTGCGACCCCTATAATAGACATCTGATATTTGTTAAAGTGCCCGTCCTCAGGGTTCAATCATCGGAAGTTTATCAAAACTTTGTCAAGCTGCACTTAAACCCTCCCAAGCCTCCCCTAAACCCCATGTCCTATGCCCCCAAGAGCTCTGACCGCTGCTGCAGCCGTGACCCCTTATGCCCTAACCTTTATAAGGAAACATATGTGGAATCAGACAGCCAGACATGCTCTTTGGGGTTCAGGGGTTGGGGTTTCAGATCAACCCTAAACCCTAAAACCCTAAAACCCTAAAACCCTAAACCCTAAACCCTAAACCCTAAACCCCCGAAAGTGCCCTAAACACCTCAGAGCCAAGTCTGCAGACGAAGAGCCGGGGCCGCACCGTGAGCGCCAGCCCACGACGGCGCCGGATCTGCCCTGCTTTCTTTCGTGTGTGTGTGTGTGTGTGTGGGGTTTAGGGTTTAGGGTTTAGGGTTTAGGGTTGCGTGTGGGATTCACTACACCTTCTAGGCTTCCTTAAAGGGAGCTATAAGGGTTTCTATAAGGGTTTGTATACAGGGGACAAGAAGGGTTCTATATGGGTACTTGGAGGGTCAGGGGACTTAGTAAGTAGGTTATAAGTGGAGTTATAAGTACCCGAAATGGAGTTACCACAATTATAGCCCTACTTATAACCGACTTACTAAGTCCCCTTGGCCTGTAAGTAGGGATTCACTACACCTTCATGTGGGTAGTTCTCTAAATTATGTCCCTTTTAGAATCTTTTTTGTATGGGTGCCGTATTATATTCGGGATCTAAAAAGGGACCCTACTTTAGAGAACTACCCACGTACAGGCTTTCATGATAAAAGATGAGGTGAGTTAAAGCTGTTGTTGGCATAGCTGGTTTTGGGGTGTCGATGACCTTAAACCTTATTCTACCTCTACGGGGACATGGATGGTATGTTGTTCAAAGACTAAGTGACTACCAAGCCCCAGATCTCAAACTATCCTGGAACCCCTAACTCCTAACCGACCCTCCCCCAAAGCTTGCAGGCTGGCCTGTCTTCATGAACGAATCGGCTTTGAAAGCAAGGGCGTTAGGGGTCATGTCAGAATCATCTTTTGCCGACTAGGTGTCACTCGTCTCACTCTCATGACTGCAACAAGTTTTGAGCGACATAGGTAGTGTCAGTATGTAGGATCTAAACGACAAGGGGACAATGTAGGGACCTTAATAATTTGAATAGGGTTTTGGGGCCCATGATACTATACTTAAAACAAGGAACCCCCAAAATAGTATAGGTAATTACCCTCAACCCTAAACCCTAAAACCTAAACCCTAAAACCAGTAAAAACCCTAAAAACCCTAAAAACCCTAGAAACCCTAAACCCCTTAGGCCTCTATCGTAGGCTTTCCATACCTGGACCCCAAAAGTATGTAGAAGAATTAGGTTTAGGGTTTAGGGTTTAGGGGCCATTATTTTACCTACTTTTGGGTGGTTTAGGTAAGGCTCACTCTGCACATTATGCGTTGCACCTTACTGCGATACAACCCTGCAGCACCCTGCAAACCACGAGACCCAAGAAGACTTGACAAAACATGATAGAACCCGGAAGACATAAAACACTACAACAAACATGTAAAACTCGATAGAACCCGAAAGCTTGACGAATCCTTACACCCTAAACCCCATATAAACCCTGAACCCCCAAACCCTAAACCCCCACACCCCAAAGCTTCACAAACCTTTCAGAACCCCAAAGCTCCGACATCAGCCTCGAAGCTCTCGGCAGCGGCCTGCCGCGGCCCACAAAGAGCTTAAGGTTTATAGGGTTTAGGGCTTTGGGTTAGGACTTTGGGTTTAGCGCTTTGGGTTAGGGCTTTGGGTTTAGCGCTTTGGATTTAGGAGTTGGGTGTGGAGGTCAATGTCAAGCCCTGAACTACACACGGTGTTGCTATGGGATTCTATCAGGGATTCCCGGGCGTTCAAAGGGTCCTATGTACTGTTATTTGTGTTCTTTGATATTGGGGACACTTGCCTAAATCGTAAATTAGGAGTTACTATTAAATAGTAACTCCTAATAAAAAACGCTACATTCTACTATATCGGTACTTTGGACCCTTTCGGTGCGTATTCGGCAACTGGCTGAGGCAGAAGAAGACTGCAGAGGTATTTCGCAAATTGGAGGAATAAAGGAACTCGTCCGGAAGCCTAAGAACTCGAAGTAGTAATATGTAGTAACTATTCGACCCCAAAATAGACCCAAAGCATTAAACCCCAACCGTAATTGCGTAGAAATTATGCGACCCCAAGATAAACCCTAACCCTAAACCCTAAACCCCAACCGAAACTACGTAGTAATTATTCGACCCCCATGATAAACCCTAACCCTAAACCCCAACCGCAACTCCGTAGTAACTATTTGAGCCCACTATACCCATAGGCCCCATAGTAGTTCCTTTTTGTGGCTTATGATTAGGATCCTATTTGGAAATCCCAATAACAGGGAACTACTATGGGGCCTATGCCCCAAACCCTAAACCCTAAACCCCAAAGGCCCTGAAGAACAACAGGCCTCAGTCGACTTGCCTGATCGAAGCCGACGTAGTGGATCACAATCCGCCCAATCGAGTCCCCCTTCTGGGCTCGTCTTGTGGGGTTTAGGATTTAGGGTTTTTAGGGTTTTTAGGGTTTTTAGGTGTTTTAGGGTTTTAGGATTTAGGCCGTTTACGCTAATTTAGGGCTTAGAAGGTTTAAGGTTCCTTTAAATCAGGGTCATTGTGCAGGCGTCTCTATAGGGGCTGCTCAATAGGTTTCTATAGTAAGGGTTATAAGGGTTGAGCACAGGGGCATTTTGCAACTAGAGTAGGATTTTCGGGTAGATGTGGGCTACAGCCTGTCGACGAAAAGCGAGGTTAGGGACGACATATGCATTTTTTCGCAGTGTGTACACAAAGCGAACAAGGAGTAGGTACCGGCACATATCATTATATCTCATTGTACCAGTTATTTTTTTCGCAGTGTGTACACAAAGCGAACAAGGAGTAGGTACCGGCACATATCATTAGAGACCCCTATTGCCTGCACAAAAAACCGTCCCAGATAGATAAGGCCCAACAAGTTTACCTGAAGCTCTCCCATGGGCCATAGTACGGCGTAGCGCTCTCGTGCTTTGTCTTACTGGATTTGTCAGGTTCTGCGTTGAACACCTGATCCCTTAACCCTAAACCCTAAACCCTAAAAGCTCCTACAGCACCCCTAAGGCGCTCGGGTCTAGAGCTGCCGGTTTAGGGTTTAGGGTTTAGGGTATAAAACCCTAAATCCAGCGAGCCCTACGACCTCAAGCCCCAACACCGAAGGAGAAAGCTGCGAAACGGTCTCCACTCAACTCAGAGTCTTGCCTTCTTGAGCTTCTCCCTCATCTTTCCTCAGATCGCTTAATATAGGGGCCTTCACAATTAGCAGAAGGTTTCGGGATATCTTGAACAATGTTTGAAGTAAGGAAGCCTTCAGAATGGTGTTGGTCATCTCTTCAGACCCCGTGCAAGAGGTTTGAAGGCTTGACAGATTTCTTAGTCATTCAAGGTTTAGTAAGTTTCGACATAGGCGGCATCAGGGTTTAACGATTTGGGTTTAGGGTTTAGGGTTTTTGAGGTTTGGTGCACACAAATGTGTGACTACGTACGAGCCTGCATCAGTACTGCGGCGAAAGGGAGCCTTTTCGGAGGTTCTACATTGATACTTAGGGTCCGGTTTGTAGGATCTAAAGTTAACCACTGTAGATGCATTTCAACTCCAACAGACCAGGGCGCACTGA